TCGAAAGTGTTCGCGCTGGGCGCTCGGCGACAGAAATTATTCGGTTCTTCGGGTACTCGAGATCGACTGTGTATGATGTTATCGCAAAGTACAATGAGTCGGAGAAGTCCAACGAAGGTTTTGCAACACCGACGAGGAAAACCCACTCGAAGGAGCACGTTGTCAGGACGCCCGACATCATTCAACGGGCTCAGGAGCTGATTTTTGAGGATCCAGGGCAGTCGATCCGAAAATTGTCGTCGGTTGTTGATGTGAGCAAGAAAACTATGCGTCGAATCGTCGAGGAGAACCTCCGCTACAAGTCTTACACAATTAAAGTGAGACAGATGCTTTCCGAAGCCGCCAGGACAAAGCGAGTTGAACGCTGCAACTTGCTTTTGTGTTCTTTAAGTCCAGATTTGAATCCTTTGGACTTCTATGTATGGAGCGTAGTTGAAAAGGTCACGAACAAATCCAGACATCCAAACATCGCATCATTGAGAGCCGCTATTGAAGCGGCATTCACCGATATGGACCGTGACACATTAAAGCGCGCCTGCGCACGTTTCAGACCGAGAATGGAGGCAGTCATTCAAGCAAGCGGAGGATATATTGAGTAAATGTGTTCTTTATGGCCTTACAAACAATGTGGTTAAACAAATTTTGTAAACCTTTTCGTTTTTGCAATAAAAAATATGTTTGAAAAAAATATATAATTTGTCCGGATTTTCGCGCCGCACTCTATAGTAAACTCATTTATTTAGTAAGGCGAAGATTTAATAGATATATTCATAGAAATGTCGGTATGACAGATTTCATAATCGGAGGTGAGAAGTCTAAACTTTCCTAAACAAATTTACGAATTTTTCTCTGTATTACGACACTAAATAATCCACTTATATCGCGTATAACACAGATCATAGCTGACATACGGTTGTAAACTTTATATTTACATATTGTAACGATTCGAAAGAGACCGTTCCGAAAATGGTAATAAACGCATGAGAACGCGTGGAAATGAAGACACAGGAAACAAAGTATGGCAGACTTCCGTTCGCGAATACGCGATAGGAGTCAATCCATTGTCGACTCACGAATGCGTGACATCGACATTGTTCCGCAATACCACTCCTGGCAGACTTCCGTTCGCGGAAAACGTGAGTCAACAAGACGTAAGAACATGCGATATAATAATATAAAACGCGTAAACAAAACAAGACTGCCGATCATCCGCGGTACACAACGAGTCAAGCAAAATTCGTATATAAAATGCGACGCGAAATCAGATTGAGATCAGATTCCGTTGATCTGATTTCCTGATATCAGATCTTCCGACTCTTCCGATATCGAGCAAGATTCTCGAAGCATTTTTTCGACACCACTCCTTGCAGACTTCCGTTCACGAATACGCGACAGGAGTCACTCCGCCGTCGACTCACGAATGCGTGACGTCGACATTGTTCCGCAATACCGCTCCTGGCAGACTTCCGTTCGCGGATACGTGACAGCAGTCACTCCGCCGTCGACTCATGAATACGTGATGACACTGTTACGAAATATCGATCCTGGTGGATTCTCGTTCGCGAATACGCGACAGGAATCACTCCACCGTCGGCTCACGGATTCGTGACTCCGACACTAATCTAAATACCGCAATCCGTAGGATTCCAAGGCCACCGAAGGTCCTGGAATCAATCCGTCGGAAGAGCGCCTTAACGCGACCTTCTCTTGTTTAACCGAATCTCGCATTAATGCGAGCGAGATCACAGCGTCAGTGAGTCGCCACGTGCGAACTCATCTCCGCATCGTCGAAGCACCGCTCCGCTGCAACGCGACTTCGACATCGCACCGTATTGATCCACGACGTGGATCACATCGCCGTCGGCTCGCAAAGACATGAACTAATCTCCGTATTACAAGGAACCGCAGTCCCACCGCGAGATCGGGATTTCTTCGCTACCGCGGCGCATAGACGCGTCCGCAACACTGTATCTTTCGCATCCGCGATCTCGAGCAAACGAGCAGGACTCGTACGTTAATATAAGCGGACGAAGCCAAAGCGGGCTCTGCCTGCGATCATCGTATGATCGTGGGTGGTGGCTCGTATGGGCGTGGATGGTTTTCGGAAATTTATCAAAACATCAACTTTTTCCGACCTTGTAAAGTAGACTTCTCCCTTAAGTGAGTGATCAGAGAGTTTGATACGGTGTTCATCAGTCTCGACACAAAAATTATAGCAGTTAGGGCCTACAATAATGCTCAGAACTTGCATTATGTGCAACACTGTATATTCCATTGTTAAACTGGCATACAACAATGTCAGAATGCGCGTGCGATCGGCGTTTTCTCAACAGCTATACTGACATTTATACTAATACATTTGAAAATAGAGTATTTATGTCATTTATGTACTAATTAGAAAGCTTAGAATCGTCACAGGTAACTGCAGGTACAAATATTTGTACTCTACGAATCCTAAACGTTTCGGAGTACCGCGCGCTCGCTCGGTCCGGCTTAGCGCGGGAGCCTATAACTATAGATAAAAATTTTTTATCGCTATAAAACCACTTGTACTTCATTTTTAAAAGTACCCTAAAGTGTATTTTAAAAGAAAAAAAAAACCGATTTTCTGAAAATTCTACATAGGTGTTACTCCTTAAGATTGTTGAATAAGTTATATTATACAGAATTTGAAACATCAATACCATTGATAGGTTGCACTGGCTATTTCACTTACCCGCAAATAAATCCTCGTCCCAAGATATAAATGAGTAAGTTCCATTATTTGAAACATTATATGACATTCATGTGTGACTTGTTTGGAACTTGACTGTACAAGTTCACCTTTTTTTTAAGTTTTTTGGCAGCTGGAACTTTCAATTATCAGTCATTTATGTTTTTTATTGTTAAGTTAAAGTTAGTAGTTATTCTTTTTATAATCAACTAGATAGATTTATTTAAATGTTATTTAAAGAAAAAATTATTTTTAATAATATACATAATTCATTCAACTTCAAAGAAAAACTCAGTTAAATCTTTTACTTGTTACTACATTTGAGAAGTTATTTGGTTACCAAAATAAATTGGTTATGTAATTTACGGGATAGTCAAATAAACATGATTAATCAATTTTGCTGATTATTTACTATTTTTGCTACAAATAACAGATTACAAAATTATGCTGAAGGAATTAAAGTAATTCGCCTTATATAATCCAGAAATTAAATTTGCTTAATTCGCTTGATTCTAACTATTTCCATTCATCTTATAGTGTACCACAAACAATAAATCACATGATTGTACGTGACATGACGCTAATATATTTTCTTGATGACATAAGATACGTATGATTTTCCGTAATCGCGTTTTTGCATTAGTCAATATTTTCTACAATTGCGCATACTTCTCCATCCAGGGTAGTTAGTGCTTTGTATCAAGCGATTGTAGATGCGGATTCTCCTGTAAACGGTCCACCAATATTCTGTACCTTGTCGACGTCGAATCTTTGTGCCGATTGAGATAAGTCTCCAATAGATACAAGTCGAAGCCTATTTCGTTGATCTTTATAAGTATTTGTTCTTCTTCCTCTTTCGACAACTCTGAAATCTACGCATAATTGTGATTTCAGTCATTTCTTGATATAAATGTTTAAAAGATATCTTAGAGATGTCTAAAAAATCTGGAAATATTCTGATTGAGTACGGACCCGATTGCATACCATTAACCGGTGCTTTGCTTTATCTACTGAATTATTAAATCCAACTAGATTTAATCAATTATTACACTCCGTGTTCAGTCGGGCTATGTGCAATCGGGCCTCACCCAAAGATCCTATTTATATCCTACTTATTTTAGAGATCTATTAGATGTTTCTAAGACATACTATAAACATTTGTACTAAGTTACCATCCCAATAGCAAAATGCATTTGGTCAATATTAAACTTTCCAGATAGCACAATGAATTCCTAAAGTATTTTTTCTTGAACGGTAATTCTTTAAGAATTCGTAAAAGAGTATATTTTAGGCACGACTAAGGAAGTTACGTGCACCATAATTGGAATTTCTGACAATTTCTTAAAATATTCATTTTGAATTACTTATGGAACAACAGATGTATACTTTATAATTTATATATATATATATATATATATATATATATATATATATATATAATATGTATTACTTTTTTCTAATAAAAACTATTCGTAAATGTCACAGCATTTGCTGATTTTACTTGAAAATTTTAAATTATTTGTTTTCAATGTTACATCACATTTAAAAATTCTTACTGGTACTGATGGGACCTTGAACTTGGACCCTGTGACACTTTTGGATTATGAGTCTGTTGCTTTAGACAATACACCATTTCTTCGATCCATATAAACGTCTTACATTTTGTCTATATGTGTTGTAATTAACACAGTAATATAATTTTTTGATAATATGATTTAATAAAATGATTAAATTTTAATAAAAATTATATTTTTCGTATTTTTACTGGATTAATTTAATCCTAATGAGGTGAGATCTACAAAATCCCGCACATTCCATTTCGTTATCTTTAAATTTTTATAGTAAAAATTTTTTTATTGTTAACTGTTATTAAATAGACAAAGTCAAAAAAGACTATAAACTTTGAGTAATTATAAAAAAATACAATTAAAAAAAAAAAAATTCATCTTACCACACACATGTAATGTTTAATTAAGTTAATTAAATTTATGTGTAAATATACAAGGTATTCCGAAACTACCGCATGCTATTTTAATGGCAAATTCTTTAAGACATTTTAAAACGAAAACTTTCAGACAAAAATGTCGAGGCTATAATAGTTTTCAAATAGGAAGCGATTATATTTCATCAATAACAGGACTGAAATTTCGCGCGCTCAGGCACACCAAAATGACAAGTGATAAAGGTGCCACACGCCGTATAGAATGGTAAACACCTTCATGGTATTAATTGATCGACATTTTGACAGATTAAGTTGGTATTTTTACTTGAATCATATTTAAGATGTCTTACAACTATTATTCGTATAAAAAATATACTAATGTAATGCGTAGAGAAGCGGCAAAACATATTATCACAATGTTATTGTAAATTTATACAATGATCATAATATCGTAAAAAAAGTGACATTTATAGGAGCATCTTTATCACTTGTCATTTTGGCGTGCCTGAGCGCGCGAAATCTCAGCCCTGTTATTGGTGAAATATAATCGCTTCCCGTTTGAAAACTATAAGGTGTAGTAAAAAGAAATCCATTATTTTTCCAATAGATGGCTTTAGTAATGTATATCTCGCGTTGTATAAATGCGATCGGTTTACGCTAGATAGCGTTAGAAAAATAAGATTTTGTACTAAAAAAACTTCTGAGACAGTTTTGTGATTGTTTGACTCAGTATTGTTTGAGCGCGCGTCAAAGATGGACACCAGCAAAGAGAAAATACGCCATATTTTACAGTTTTTCTTCGATAAAGGCGAAAACGCAAGCCAGACGGCTGAAAATATGAAGTGTTTATGGTCCTGATACTGTAACAGCCAATCACGCGCAATTTTGGTTTCGTCGATTCCGTTCCGGTAATTTTGATGTCAAAGATGCACCACGCTCTGGAAGGCCAATTGTCGAAAATGTCGATAAAATAATGGAAATCGTCGAGTCCGACCGTCATGTAAGCACTGTTTCGATTGCCCAGGAGCTAAACATTGCACAAAAAACCGTTTGGAACCACTTGAATAAGGCTGGATACAAAAAGAAGCTCGATGTATGGGTGCCACACGAGTTAACGCAAAAAAACCTCATGGACCGAATTTCCATCTGCGAATCGCTGCTGAATCGCAACAAAATCGACCCATTTCTGCAGCGGATGGTGACTGGTGATGAAAAGTGGGTCACTTACGACAACGTCAAGCGAAAACGGTCGTGGTCGAAACGCGGTGAGCCGGCGCAAACGGTGGCCAAGCCAGGATTGACGGTCAGGAAGGCTTTGCTGTGTGTTTAGTGGGATTGGCAGGGAATCATCCACTATGAGCTGCTCCCCTACGGCCAAACTTTTAATTCGGACCTGTACTGTCAACAATTGGACCGTCTGAAGGAATCAATTGCTCAGAAGCGGCCAGCTTTGGCTAATAGGAGAGGAATTGTGTTCCATCAGGATAACGCCAGGCCACACACATCGATAGTGACTCGCCAGAAGCTCCGGGAGCTTGGTTGGGAGGTTCTTATGCATCCACCTTATAGTCCGGACCTGGCACCAAGTGATTACCACCTGTTCCTGTCTATGGCGAATGATTTTGCTGGTGAAAAATTTGCCTCAAGAGAAGCTTGTGAAAATCGACTGTCCCAGTTTTTTACCAATAGGGACAAGGGTTTCTATGAGAGAGGCATAATGGAATTACCTTCAAAATGGTAACATTATAAGTTATCGAACAAAACGGTGCATATTTGATCTAAATCGGATTATTCTACCTATGCTAAATAAAGCCTTCAATTTCATGTAAAAATAATAGATTTCTTTTTACTATACCTTATATTATAGCCTCGACATTTTTGTGTCAAAGTTTTCGTTTTGAAATGTTCTAAAGAATTTGCCATTAAAATAGTATGCGGTAGATTCGGGACACCCTGTATAAATTAACGCTTATTATAAGTGATGGGGTATCTGTCTAATGCAACCATAAATGTAAATAAAATTAGATAATAATAGTAATTTCTCAGAAATTCTCAGAGTATCCCAAATAATGATTCGCAAAATATTCATTATAATGAAGTTATACTTTAGAAGGAATTCCTTACAAGGAATACTTTAGAATTAATTAGACTCGGATAATTTTTCAAATATTCATTTTTCTAATTCTTTAAAATAAATTCTCTATGAACATCTATTCATTTAGGTTGTACCCTAGAAAAGAGAATTTACAAAGAATTCAGTCGTATGTTACCAATCCTGAGTTCATTTTTATATACAAAAAGAATTCTTTTCATTGAACTGAACTTTGGAGAATTCTTCTTGCATCTGAAAATGAACTCAGAATTGGTGACATATAGCTAAATTCTTTTTTAATTTTTTTCGAATTCTTTGTGCTATCTGGGTAGCCACCATTTTAGAATCCATAAGAGTTAACCGTTAAGTAACTAATATATCCTGTTTGTATATTTGCTTTTAAAGCTCCTAGTCCCTCGCCGAACTCTTCATTGATGAAATCAGAAGCGAAAAAACGCATGTCCTATATTTTTGTGTACTATTTTCAAATAAAAAGATATTTGTATGAAAAAATATTTGAGTTCGTTTGATATACTTGTAAAATGCTCCGAAAACTATTCTTTTGCCTTGACAGCCAATAAATAGCCTTAAAATTAACATGACAAAATTATGAGAAAAGTTAGGTTAAAAAGGAAGATTGTATGTTATTAATTTTATGGCTATTTATTAACTCTTAAAGGAAAATTATAGTTTCTGGGGTATTTAACAAGTATATTTAAATAATGTGAAGTGTTCTTTTATTCAAATATCTTTTTTTTTGAAAATAATACGCAAGAATTTTTAACATGTAATTTCTCATTTTGAATATCATAATTCAACATGGCCGCGGTGAGTACTCAGAAGCTTTAACGATTATGACGATAAAAGATTATTATTAGGGATGTGCCGGATACCGGATATCCGATAATAACGTAATACCGGATATCCGGCCGGATACCAATTTATTAATTTCTAAAGAAATTTCTATATTAATATTTACATAAGTAATACATTATATAACGTTTGCCTATATTTGCCATATAATTTAAGAGGACTAGAACAGTTTTATCTTCCAAAAATTGAGTGAAATTCGAATGACGATTATCGACAAACAAGTAAATGTACACAAGATTTGTTTTTTTTTTTATTTTTATACATACTTTTAGGCATACAATAAGCGGTAGAAGTTAAAAAATATTAATAACTGAGTGAGATATTGTTAAATTAAGAAAACGTTTTTACGGTTTTGCCACGATTCCGGGGAAACGAATTGGAATTTTTTAATGCGCCATATGTCATTTTATGAGATGAGATTTCCCTCTATAAATTGAACCGAAGTGGAACTAAAAATCTAGAAAATTAAAGAAATAACGGACAAAAAACTAAAAATGTCTAAAAATTCAAGTTATTTATTGTTAAAACTGTGTTAAAAAATTAATTTTCATAAGCAAACTTTGGTTCAATCTATGTGTGTGTGTGTGTGTGTGCAGTACATCTTTACTTTTAATTTAAAAAAAGGTTAAGTCAATATTTTTAGCCGTCCTTGAATAATCGTGGCAAAACGAGCAGAAAATGCTATTTTGAAAAATAAACGATCGACTACTATCGATCGACCGACTGTTCTCGTCTTCTTTGTTACTCTTATATTTGTTAGCAGTGACCTCCACACGCCTATAGCCTTTGTTTTTGATATTATTATTTCTAAATTTTAGAAATATTATTACTGTTTGTTTTTAAATAAACAATATCTACATTTCTTATACTACATAATCACGCGCGCTTCGCCGGGCACGCGCCGTCTCACATTTTTCGCTCTTCTAAACTTAATTTTGCGAATATCGAGGTTCTTTTTGCGCCAA